CATCACGCACGGAGCCCGCGCGTTTTGATTGGCGAACGCTCGAACGACGTCACCACGCGTTTGATGCGCTCGGCCGCTCAGGTACGTGCCGCTACGTCATCACGCACGGGGGTGTGTGACGTCATCACGCAAGCACTGCACCCGATGACGTAACCGTACTGCACGAATCACCCTCCATCCACCCCAACGTTGAACTTTAGAAATGTCATACAGTGTATACAATTTGTGTGTAAACTGGTAATTTTGTACGAATAACAATTCATGGATTTGTGTTTACATGAGGTTAAATTAAATAAATGTTTAGCCGAGAGTATAGTTAGGAGAGTAAAATATACAACTTTTACTGCCAAAAAGACCAAACATTCCTTGCACTCCTTCAGCCTAATTGAGTTTACCGTATTAGACGTAATAGCCTGCGAGGGCAGTTAGAAAATAAAATGAAAACTGTTAGTCAATTAACACTGTGCCCCCAATGGGAATCTATAAATATTGATATCTATATATTATTGTAATACATGATGTTTCACCCCCATGGTCCTTTATAGTGCGCTGCTACTGCTATTGTTAATCCGGCTGTTATGGATTGACTTATGCAGCTAGCCAAGGATGCTAGTGATGTGTGTTGTGTGTGTCGCTATTGTAAACTTTTAATCGCATTTGTTTGAAAACTGTTACGTTGTTTATATAGCATTGTTGTAGTAAGTTTTAGATGGGCTTGGTTTGGCCCGATTTTTTTTTATTTAGTATAGATTTATACTTAAAAATTTGATCTGTATTGTATTATGATTGTTATTGGGATCAAACATAGAAATGGAATTTGTTGCAGTTTTTGTACGCAGCATGGACGGGTGGTGCTTTTTCTGTAGGATTTTATTGTTTATGTACGTGATGTTTAGATTTGTGTACAATGAATTTTAGGTGTATCTTGTAATTTTTTGTTTGTTGCGGTTGCATCCAAATCAAGAGCCGAATGACTCACAGGGTAAATCATAATAAATGAAACTGAAACACAGCACAAACATTGTCTATTGCCGTGTACGCCACTGCCAACACACAGTTTAAAAGATAATTTCAATGGCATTTCACAAAGCTGGAAATTCAATGTACTGGATGAAAAAAAACAGGCCATCCAAGCCGGCTAAAAACTCTGCAGTAATGCTACACGTGTGTTACCAACGCTGGTTATGCCACCGATGTCACAAGTTCACAACACCAATGTAGGCGAATACCCCACGTAACTTAGATGTTAGGACGCTGGGCTTTGTTTAACAGCGACATGAGCGGATTGAGAAGAAGCCTTCTAGAAGGTTCCCGAAGAAACGAGGGCGGAAACTGGAGAACAAGCTTCCACGAGTGCATGTTGTGGGTTGTAACAACACACAGGCTCCCTTACCTTTCGCGCACATCGTTGAACGTGGAGGCTTCTTGCACAGGTAAGTTGCGTTTGATTCTTAACCCTCCCAAATTGAAATCTGTGGACAAGGGGGTTGTCACACGAGGAATCCATGTCATGTCCACACGGTTGATTCACAACTCCAGAGTGAACGCTTCCTCTAGGCGCCATCGGTGGTCGTAGCTCATTCATTCAAAATTAATTCTTACCGCCAATATACAACTTATCCCTTTGTTTTTACACAGTCCCCTATTTGCCCACTTTACAAGTAAAACGATACGATGTTGTTAACGTCAACAACGTTTTAGCAGATTCGACATATTAGCTCTCGTGGCAATAATTCGTAAAAAAAATACCGCCCTTGCGAATTCGATTAACTTTTTAACAATAACTGTTAATTTGTCCATCAACTCACGATTTGAATCGAGTAGAGTTGCATGAATCCTTATACCGTACATTCTCAAGCAACATGTATTGTGCTGTTCTTGACTCGTTAATCATTCAAACGAATGCAAGTCACCTTGAACCGAATAAAAGTTTCCAAAATCCTTGCGTGTCTGGTTCCATGTCTTCGATATAATAGTACTTTATGTTTGTAACTGTATAATACAGGTAGGAACAACAGTTCCCACACTACGTGACTTTACCGAAAGAACCAAGAAGAAGTTCCCACACTGCCCACCAGTGATTATTTGTCTGTCTGTCGTTCATGGCCCCACCCCACCAGAGCCCTCCCATTGGTTCGGGGGCGCCGACCAATGGGAGCGGTGGGTTGGGATTGGTAGAGGGGGGGGGGTTAGTGATGGGGGGGGCACCGCCGCGACTCGGGCCAATGAGGAGACGGGGATGTTTCATTCACAAAATTGAACTGGGGGAGGGTGGCTCCATTCATAAAATGGAACCCTTGAAAATAAAAAAGCGGATCTTTTTACCTCGTGTTTCTTTCAACATTCTCAGCCTTAAGGTGATTCAGGTGGGGGTGGGAGGGGTGGGGCTGGGTGGGGAGGGGAGGGCGGGGCTGGGTGAGGAGGGGAGGGAGGGATTGGATGGGGAGGGACTGGATGGGGAGGGTGGGGCTGGGTGGGGAGGGGAGGGTGGGGAGGGGCTGGGTGGGGTGGGGTGGGGCTGGGTGGGGAGGGGAGGGTGGGGAGGGGCTGGGTGGGGTGGGGAGGGGCTGGGTGGGGTGGGGTGGGGCTGGGTGGGGTGGGGCTGGTCACCCCGTGGTGCCCTTATAAAACTCAACGTTTAAGCTACACACTACACTATACATGACACGATACACTACACTTATACAGGGAGGAACAACAGCTTCCACAATGCCCACCAGGGATTATTTGTCTGTCTGTCGTGCACGAATGCGTTGTCCAACCAAGTTCCTACCTGCCCACTCCGAAGGAACATGTTTGAGAAACCACAATAATTTCCCGCCTTAACAGGGCATTATTGAGAAATACAACCGCATTAAAATATATAGAATTATTTGGCTTCTATAAATGTCCACATCAGCTAGTTGTGGCCCAGGTTCGCTTCTGAAAACGAAATATACAGCTCAGTGTCCCTTACCTAGGTAAAATAAAGTTTATTTTACAATATGGCATTAGTAAAATTATACGAAACACATTTTAAATTTCAAAATATGTCTGTGGGTCTGGGCCTAATCTCATGACTTTATTGTATGTCACTGTAATTATGAAACCAATGTAATTCACCGCAACGGTTTATACACCTTAACGGCGCGTTATTTCAATCGCAGTAACGTTGTGCCCTTTGATCATAACCGTACTTACAAATGAGATTTGACAATCATCCAAGCTCTGCAGTTGCGTCATTCTGAACACGGAAACCATGTACACGCACGAAGCAGGTTAATCTGCTCGAAGCAAACATTTTCTGCACAACCACCACGTGTGGGCCACGTGGTCAGCTTCCATTCATTTCAACTTTCGTTCGTCCAATTTCGTTCCTCCCAGTTTCCATTCCTCCCAACTCTCGTTATTTCCATTTCGTCCCTCCCATTTCGTTTCTCCAGCTTCCGTTCCTCCCATTTCGTTCCTAATTTTATTCCTCCCAGCTCCCCGTTCCTCCCATTTCGTTCCTAATTTTATTCCTCCCAGCTCCCCGTTCCTCCCATTTCGTTCCTAATTTTTTTTCCTCCCAGCTCCCCGTTTCACCATTCCGTTCCTCCCATTTCGTTTCTCCTATTTCGTTCCTCCTAGCTTCCGTTCCTCCCATTTAGTTCCTCCCAGCTTCCGAACCCCCCTTAAGAGGCCCACGTCCTCTCGCGAGCCCATCCCTCCTGCTCCTCCCAGCTGCGGCCAGCCCGACCACGACATCAACCACCCCCACCTGTTCTCCTGCCACCACGGCAAACTTACACCACCACTTCTAATAATAACCTCCCCACGCACACACTCGTTATCTCAAGCACTATCATCCTAAGTACAATTATTGCTGTAAACGGCGCTAGACAAATCTGTAGAAGATAAGACGTTAACTTGTTAACCACCTCACTCCCTATCGGACTCTTAAACATTATGCCACTGTTCCATACATCACATTGTCTTGGCCCCGTGGTGTTTGTCCGGTTGTGGTTGAGACGAATGATGGCGTGGCGGCCAAAGGAAACAATCCGTCACCTGTAGCAGAGATGTGGCGATGCTATCATCCAGATCGCGTGCATGTCGCTTCCATAGATTGTTATACACGTCCTCATCGCAGTATCGTGAGAGGTGGTGGCAGCTTTCATCCAGCAGTGGATTGACCATGACTGATGATGATGAATATATCAGTGGAAGACAACATTCAAAATATTCAGTTTTCAAATATACTCCACTATCTGTACAATTTCAGCTTTTCTCCCCCTTTCTTGAATGTCGCTCAGAGTTTAACATCATTACCACAGATATACAGCGGAAGGAATGTCATCGTTATAACCCTTCGTGAGCATAAGTTCACATTTACACCGATGTAAAAGCTTGTAATGTAATGCAAGCATGTTATTATCGCTATAATATTGTGTCGTAGAGTCAAACTGTGGCTTTCTAACCCTTACAGAACATAATTTACAATTTACACCAGTGGGACCTAACACTGTACATAATTGTTTTTAATAATTTATTCCTCAATTGTGCATTGAGGCGGTGATGATGGTTTCGTGCTCACAATTCCACATTCCTATGGCAGGGGAGCGTGACTACATTGGGGCCAAACCAATCACCGTTTGACTTCCACACAAAGTGGCGACTGATCAATAATTATCTTACCTCGGAGGGACGATGACCTGAGTCAAGGTCCCAAAAAAAACATGAATATCAACTCGCAAACTTCACAGTTGTCGTTGACGTGCCATGATGTAGATGAACCACTGTCCACAACGTCGCCTCTTACACACACACGCACACACGCGCGTTCCCTCTTAGAGCCACGAAATATGTAAACCACGTCAAGTTCTTTCTGTTATTTGTTGGGCACAAAAAAGTTGAAAACGTGGTGGCTCGATTTGATTTGACGGTGCCGCGTTTACGCGGAGCATTACGGTAAAGGGGGGGTGGGGTGGTGCGCGTTTAAAGGGCCCGGTACCACGTGTGCGTCCGGGCGAATGCAGTGGCGTCCACACAGCAGCAGCGACAGCAGCAGCAGCATCATCATCATCATCCCCATTGTATGGGCTACACAGTGCGTGCAGTAGTAACAGTGTTGTGATACAGCACAGAGGTATTCCTTACACCGGCTTACTTACGTGCGAGTGTGTGTGTGTTATATTTGTGCGCGCGTGTGTGTGTGTGTTACACACGTTACAACAGCGAGCGTGTCTTTTACCATTGTATAACACGGCTCACACATTACTGTTGACACCTATCATCATCAGCAGCAGCAACCAGTCTGCTGTGCTGTATAGTATGGTGCATTTGATGGCGTTGTGTTGGATTTATACATAAGAAGACGCTTGCCGTGCTGATATGGCAACAGTAGTCCCCGGATAGGGTTTATTTTCTCCGTGGCTTGTTGATGCCACCATCACCGCTTCACTGAATGACGATGATGACGGCGGTAGTGGTGGTGGTGGTGAGAAGCCACCGTCCACTGTCATTCATTGCGTTAGCTTGGTGAGTCTTAAGAGAGGGTTGGGTGGCAGGGTTTTTTTGTGGTGGTGTGCGGAAGGAGGTGCTTTTGGGAGGTGGGAGGAGAGGTTGTGGAGGTGGGGGAAGGGTAATTGTGGCAGCTGGACTCTAACAGAATGGCACTATAAACTAGTTTTCACCTCTGCTGCGGCGGCACTTGCTGAAGAACACATGGCGATTGGTGGAATGGCATTCCATCCTTGATCTCAAACTGCACAAAGTTTGAAGGAAGGATCCCTTATCCACTTTGGCTGGCCCCAGGTAAGGCACGCTGCTCATTTTTTCCACTATACTCGCTGTTTAATGACACGCACGCGCACAACAAGTACTGTATCTTGGTCAACATTGGGTTTATTGGATAATAAGTGTGGTGATTTGATTGGCATCATAATCAAGTGTGTGTGAGTTTTTTTGTTTGTTATTGAAGCAACGTGTTTAAGATGGCCTAGAAATGTTAAGGATGCAGTCATATGCTGTGTTATGTCAACTTGATTGCGTGTGTGTGTGGATGGGTTGTGTTACAAGTTGTGCGACTGTGGCCGATGCTTATTAAAAATTAATTGTTGAAGTAAGTGTCTCGTGTGTGTATGTGTGTGCTTCAAAAACGGTCAGTTCTTGTAATACTTCGTCTACCTCTTAGATTTCAAACGGACTAATCCATTAACACACAAATGGCTGTCATTTAAATAAATGCAAAAGCCAAATAATTAATTGGTGCTTTCAAATAAATCCCTCGAAAGGACCAGCCCAAATAACAAACAAAAAAACTCAATTCATCAATAACACTGGTGACGTTTCGGGCAACGACCCTGCTTCAAAGCACATCATGGTATTTTATGTACATCAGCTGTATTGGGGTTCATAGCACATTACATTACATGCACATTAGCACCCCTATTGCGAGTTATCGGTGCAACCTCGTGCTGTACCGCATTTGTGTCTTCAGTACCAATCCTACTGTTGAAGTGTTATGCAAACGACACATTTGCCTGCCTCTCTAAGAAAGGAATGGTTAGTAACATGGGACATTGTGTGTGCATTTGTGAATACGCGTGATAATCGCAGCATGGAACACGGCACCATAGTTGTATGTTATGCAAGGTAAATCAATTATTTCAGTAAAACAGCAATTGCAGTGTGAGTCTTGGTAGGGAAATGAGAGTAGAAATGTGGTCATTGTAATGTATTGTGTGCTTTGTCAGGAAATGTTGTCTTTGTGAGTTTTGTGTGTCTATGGTCAGGGTCATATGACTACGATACGTGTTCTCATAAATTACTGTACAATTAAATGATCGGCCTGTCCTGTAATGTGGACTTGGAATTTGTATGTCATTACACGTGTTTACGAAAGGCACCGGGGAGTTCCGTATAGTGCTGTCGTGTCTTTCCCGTGAACTTAAGAAGTAATGTTGGCTGCGTTTTTACTAACTCTGTATATCATCTCGGCATGGTTTGTAAAAATAAGTAGTAACCACTGTGGAAAGTATATGTGTGGCGATCAGTTGTATGGATAAACTGGCCCTGTCCATGGGATTGTGGATTTTTCATCGTTGGCCTGTGGGTCACCAACAGAGATGATTTTTGACACTTTTGACTTATTTTTTGTTTGAGCTAACAGATGATTTGAACTGGACTCGTATAAACGTTGTTGGGTTTTTTTTTATCGGTAAAGTTGTGGGTAATATAGTTAATCTAGAAGTTTTCGTGACTGCAGGGATCCATACTCTTTGGTTCTTTCGGTAAAGTCACTTGGGTATAAAATAAAATAAATAAAATCACGACGTTTCGGGCGCAACACAAGCGTCCGTCATCATGTGGGACAACCACAGCAAGAAACAATTGCTGAAGTGGGCGGTAATATAGTTCTGGCAGAGTGCATCTGACCGTGACCATGAAAAGCATTGGAAGCACCAGCCACGAGGTTTTTTTGTATCTGCCACTTGTAGGTGAAATGGTCAGCATTGACAGTGGCGGCATTGTGTCCATACTGGAAGTTGTAAATACAAACTGAACTTTAATAATCAAAAGCAAAGTGGTCTTCGTTGTTGTTCCTGTATTCGCTGCACATTACCCTTTTTTAACGACTTGCACATCCAAAACATTGTTTTAATGATTTTTTAAATATGTTGTCCAGGCTAATAATCCCTTGAGATGGAACTTCTCGTTTGCCAGGGTGTCTATGGTTGTCAAGTGATGCGTACATAGCAAACCACGTGATTTTATACAGCGTCAATAATGGGAACAAAAACGGCGGACAGTGACTCAGAAACTTGAACAAAAGCTGCAAAGTATGCAAACGAGCATTGAGAGAGACGTAGGAATGACATTGCACTGAGGGACATGAAGGGGAACGCGTGGATTCGTGAACTTACACAAGTTAGAAACCTCATTTAGGAAAAGGAATTGGACTTGGGCAGGACATGCCTCTCGATGGGATGATGGCCGGATGGTCGAGACTTAACGATGGAGTGACAGCCAAAGAAAAGAACGTGCCCAAGAGGAGGACGTTCACCGTGGAGACGGAGCCACGAAGTCGGCTCACGGAGGTGCTAGGCTTAGATGGATTGTAAACATCGCATGAGCGCGAGAGATTGACAACTGCTGGGGGCAAGCCTTCATCCAGCAGCGAATCGATCATGGACGAGTGGTTGGTGGTGGCGATAATGATGAAGAAGTTATAAATGAAATGGTCAGCATGTTGGGAACTCCAGATTCTTGTCTGTCCATGGCAAGATATGGTGAAAAATGCCCAACATTGTTGGACTGTTTACTAATGCTGTGTTCCTCTCTAATGCAGGCGATGAATTTTGGTTTGGTGGCAAGAGATATGTGGACAAGATTTTGCGCCAACGTCTGCCACCCTCAGCTCAGCACCAGGATGAAATGAAATCACGTAAAGGTGAGCTATTGCTTCTCCGCAGTGTTGCTGAAAAAAATTCTGTCTCCCAGTTTTACAGTTCCCTGTGCAAGTCGTTATTGAGTAACCATGGACAACAGCAATAGCAATACGTTCCGTACCTTGGACCCAGGAGATAATTTTTAATTTTGTTTTAATGGGTGTCATTGTGCAATGGATTTCTGTATCGGCACCACACTGTACAGAACTGTAGCCATCCAAAAGATAAACTGGCTCTTGCCATAGTAATGTGGAATTGTCACCTGCCTCTGGGCCGGCGTTTTAGCTGAGTGTCCCTCACTAAAGCTTGTGTTAGTGGGGAAGCATTTTTATTTATAGACTTTTTATTATTGTAGTACATTGTAGAAATGCTATATTTGCAAAGGTTGTTACTAACACAATTATCTTGTGAGCAAATCGCAGTCAATGTGCCTGAACGCGTAACATCTCCGAAGCTAAGCAGATTTTGAGCCTGTGGATAGTGCTTTTACGGATGCTAAGCATGCATAACAAGCATTGTAGGCGGCCGCGGTGCTTCTGTGGTAGGCAGCAAAAGGATGGTTCAGAAGCATCCACAGTTGCACTGCACTTCTATGCTCCCACATCTATGCGCCATGCCTTCACCAGCCTGCACTGACCAGCGTGGCGAAGTATGGTAGAAAAAAAATTACATGGCGATATCGGCATTCAGCAGTGGATTTCCAAAGGGACTGTAGGTGTGTACGTTTAAAAATACTCCGCGATTTTATGCCTCTGCAAAGTCTTCGGCGAGGAGGACGGTAGCGCTGGAGAAGCCTGATGCTTTCCTGGCAGGACTTGCCGGCGGTCAAAACTGCTGATGGTTTAGAATTGTAACCGAGTGGTGGGAACATGGAGCAGCCTTCAGAGCATGCCCCCCCCCCCCCCCCCCCCCCCCGTAATCTTCCTCTTCACCAATCAATCATCACGGACATGGTAATTATCGCTGCGGTCTCCACACTTGCCACCACAAATATCTGAACGAGATGAATTCTTTGTACGTGTTACGGCCCTCTTGTTAGGCCCACTGCTGGTTCTAGGGCCTCTCGGCAACCACGCAGGTTGTGGTCCACGGTCCATTCGACCATACTTCACCTGGTTGGGTCGGTGAGAGTTTGAAGGTGGTGAGAGTGGGAGCGTAGTAAAGTACAACAACCTTATTTTGCGGCACTGTGCGCGCAGCATGGTGCCTGCAGCAGCCTGCGACACCTAGTTTATGCAAATTGGTGGCCCTCAAAAGCAGCACGATTCGGGCTCAACCCACCTCTGCTTCCAAGATTTGACGAGATCGGGCACATTCCAGGCGATTTTGTCGTAGACAAAACGTCAACATCCTCTTAATCATCATCGTAATCGCCGTAGTTGTCACGTCCATTATTGGTTTCGTCATTGTCTCCGAGTCATGCTCTGTCTGTGCTGGTTACTGGAATGGCAGGGTAGGTGGGTGAGGCAGTGGGGTGGGTGGGGCCCTCTTCTGAGGCTCCCCCTTGTTTTCTTAGCTGCCCCAGACGTGTCACAGCAGATGGCCTGCAATCACAACTTCCACGGAGAGGTTTTTCGAGAGGGCGCATCCCACCCCCACCGTCAAATCCGCTCGCACCTAAACGAGGAGGAGACGGAGCAAAACATCTTGCCTCTCACGGATGCCTCCTAGACGCTTGCCACCCAAGCAAGCGTTGCTTCGGTGCACGTTTTGTTTTATTTTATTTGCTTTAGTGGCGAGACGAGTCCCATTGCAATCTTTGTTCGTACTCTGGTCCGTTCGCTTATGTCATTGTTCATCGGTCTTGTGAGCTTCCTCACGATCTCTGCCCAGGTGTATTAGGAAGCCAATGGAGCTATGCACTTTAAAATCTAGATTGAAAACTGATTTCTTTAGAACTCCTTTTTGGTGTTTTAGTTTGTCCTTCCTCCCCGCACCTCTAATTAGCATGGTTCGCTACGTAAGTTCTACATACACACAGGTGTACATCCTTCTTGTCATGACCTTTTCCTAGCAACCTCTAGGTTTGCGAATGAGTTGTCAACAAAAAGCATAATTCCCGCCATCGTACGCATTCGTGTGTGTAGTGGGGGGGGGGGGGTGCGGGTTCCCTTTTTCACAAACACCCGGCCGTTTGTTCGGTGATCTGTCCAGGTAGTACGAGCAGAGCCGCGAGCCCGCGCCCCCCCCCTGCCCCCCACCCCCCGGCCCTCACCTTTCTCCGTCGGCGTTGCAGGGGCCGACGAGCAGCTGCCTTAGCAATGTCCAAGGTGCTCAAGAAGCGCGCGCACTGGAGCGCCAAGGTGCGCGAGGTGGTGGCGTCGCGCTGCCGGGACGGCTCGCTGGGCTTCGCGGTGTGCGGCGGCGCGGACGCGGGCCAGTTCCCCCACCTGGGCGAGGCGGTGGACCACGAACGGGTCGTCTACCACCACGCGGCACGCCTCCAGGGGGGCCACCTGCTGCTCGAGGTCAACGGCACGCCCGTGGCGGGCCTCACGCGGCGCGACGCGCTCGCCGTCATCGCCAACTGCAAGGACCCGCTGCGGCTCAAGACCGTCAAGCCAGGTGCGGTCGCAAGCGGTTGTTTTGTGCAATTTGTGTCTTGTTTAGATTTCGTTGACTTGCTTGGCTTTCCTACGCCATGCACTTTTTGTCGTGGTTTTTTGGTTGTTGTGTCGTTTGGTTGTAACTTTCTGACCCGCGCTGCTCCTGGACATCCTGTGAAAATGAGCTTGGTAGCTCATCGGATTCTTCCGGTATAAATAAAGATTCTGATTCTGTGTCCAGGCTGGCAGTTGTGCGTACGTACTTATGTTGAACTTCGTTCGCACCGTGCGTAGCCAGCAGTGTCAATCGGAGGTGTGTGTGACGAGCCGTCGCTGGAAAGCGATTCTTACGCTCGCAAGTGCACGCGTTGAACTGGCGCGGTTCATAGGAATTTTTTTTTGATGGAAGTTCGAAAAAAAAGCAACATAGCTGGAATGTATTTTAAGATTGTTCATCATTCCACAGCACCCGGGATGGCTGAGCGGAGTGCGCTTGTTCCTCCAGAGTACGCGCGTGTTGTTTTGGGCAGTCATCGGTGATGTATATACGCCTGATGGTTTGCGCCTCAAGTCATTCACACTTTGGGGAGTCCTTGACCTTCCATTTGTGTTGGGAACCAGAGAGAAACCAGGCTGTGTTCCTTTGTCGAGTCTTCAATAAGGATATTATATTTCTTCTGCACTGTACTTATCAGCAGAAAATCAGAATGTATAAAGCGGTACAAACAGGACGGATATTAAATGGATGGTAGCGATTAGACGGAACAAGGGAGAGATTCTGCACATACAAGATGAGAGAATGAGCAAGAAAGATAGCGCAAACAAGACAGCCACCGTCATGCGTGTGTGGCTGGATGAATCGCAACTAGGATAATGAGCCTGGATATGGCTTCATTTGATGTGTGGTGAAATGCTACATGCCTCCTGAAGCTGACATTGGTGCACTACTGTGCGGTCTCTCTCAGTCACTCGTAGACTCGTATAGAGACCCACATCCTCGAACGAAAGTTCAGTACACTATGATACCTCCTTTACCAGTGGCAAAATATAGTGATAGGGTTTTTACCCTTTAAACTGGTACAAAAACTGACACCTTTATACAAGGCATCATGTTTGCAATAACCACAACAGTTTTTTGTACCAGTTGAAAGGGTAAAAACCTATCACTATATTTTGCCACTGGTAAAGGAGGTCTCATAGTGTAAATGCTTACCCTGAGCTCTCAATACTCTGAGTGTGCTGTTTTTGAGTTGTATGCCTTTTGGCGTCATCTGGTCCAACACCAATGGAAACTAGGCTCTAAGAAAAGCTGTCTCGGGTGTGGACCAATCAACTTCAAGGACAGTGCATATCATTATCAGAGTTGTTTCTTTTTGTTTGCAATTTGACTGCTTGTGTTGTGGTTATTGCAAACATGATGCCTTGTATAAAGGTGTCAGTTTTTGTACCAGTTGAAAGGGTAAAAACCTATCACTGAAAGTTCAGTAGTTTGCTTTGTGGTCGATTGTGGTCTGGTCTGTTTCCATAATTGCATGCTGGGCTTGTTCTGAATTTCCGCTGGTGACGGATGAGGGCGGATAGGCCGTGATGCATGTGCCGGTGCAATTTAACGCTGACGATAGTCTTCACGCGCGAGATTAAGCCCCGGAGGTTCTTTTCGTGGGTTCGGCAATCCAGCGCTTGTTCTGGGATATTGATGTTCTGCCAAAACCTGTCGCCAATTCTCCGAGGCGCTAAATTTTCGACGTAATTCGGACAGTGAAAACTAGACCAGATCAAACGAGTCGCTTAAAATCGAGTCGGAACGCAGAAGGCCAAATAACCTCATCATAAACTCCTTCTCCAGTTGACAGTTCATTGCATTGTAAAATGATAGGGGGGAGGGAATCGTTAAATCGTTGCACGTATAAAAGCAATGGTTGCGTTAATTTCTTGAGGCGTGCCACGTGCGTGATTTACGGTATTTTTCATTGGTTTCTCCTTTGGCCTTGATTTGGAGAACGATGCCTTATAATCTGGCCAAGTGTGTCATGGGTTGCTGAGAGTTGCAGTTCAGACAGCCTCTCCGGACATGCAGAGTGTGTGCAACTCGGTGCAATAAAACCAATTTTTGTCAGTATTGAGCACTCCTGAGATAAGAGGGAAGTGAGTTACACCTGCCGTGGTTTCATGTTCTGCACATTAAAATGGTCATGCCGTAGGGATGAGTTCTCAAATGTTGGATTCGTTCTTAAAGGTAAAAAAAGCTCTTTCAGAGTGGTTCGAAAATATAACGTATTGGGAAATTGTCACTTCTGTGCTTTTCCCGCCAAAAGTGGTGTCACTTGGAATCGAGTTCAGTTGCTACGTCATGTGAATGATCTGAAAAAGTTATAAACTTGTCCTTTTAAAATGCAAATATATGTAATCTTAAAAAAACATTTGCTCAATATATTCGCTATTTCGATTTAAAGCTTTCGTGACTGCAGGGATTCATCTTCTTGGTTCTTTCGGTATTACTTCCCTTCTGCGTGACTTTACCGAAAGAACCAAGAAGATTCGCTATATTGTAATAAGTTATACGATTGAGTAAGTTTGGCAATGAAAATGAATTGCCATGCCACTTATTCAAACTGAGAGCCACATTCGTTATTGGCATCTGATGCATCTCGTGGCTCCGTTTCTGATAGTTGCAGCGGTTTGATGTTTGGTCTTCTTGACTATTTTCATATGTGGGAGAAAGTCGGGATGCCTATAAAAGCTGGCAGGACCCTCCCGAAAAAGAGATTCAGACTCGGTGAGGCTTTGCTGGGTAATAAGCATAATAATAGTAATGATAAGCTCCTGCCCACATCTCACCCTTGTGGGTGGAGCATATCAAGGACGTTATTGTTTGCACAATCTACTTTGCAAACACGTGCCACTAAACCCAAATATTAGTCTTCTTTTAATCATGTATCTTCCTTGTTCAAACAAGCGATAAGGAGCTACCCAGCTGCTTGGGCAGTTTTCTGCCAGTTGTGGAAATTCCACATTCCTATGACTGGAGCCTCGTCACTGCGATGGACGACTGCTGTTGGCTTCCCACAAAGGGGTAGGCGACTTATTTTATTGACCACAAGGAAATGTCAGGCTGCGTTTACCCCAAACCAGGAATTGAACTCGTAACTCTGGAATATGCAACAGTATTCCAAATTGTCAGAAACTATGCAACGGCACGGTGTATCGAAACGGCATGCACACTTTTAACTTGCACGGGCGGTAACATGGCCCAGCGGTTCGCGCGTTCGCCGCTTGTTGCGAAGGCTCGCAGTTTGCATCCAGCTGGACGCCCTGGTTAATACTGCGCGGTGTGTATTCGATCACAAATTGCATGCAGTCAGCTTCACAGTGGACGTTAAAGATCCTGTGACGTCTTTCGAGAAGAGTAGGCCATTTGTTTGCCGGCGTCGTGATCCGAATTATCCCAGTGTGAAACATTTCCTGCATATAACTCTGTTGGTATTACACGTAGCAACATCGTGTCAACCCCCCCCCCCCCCCCCCCACACTATACAACTTCTACAGACTGAAATATAGCACCTTTGTGGCAGCCTTGCACTATAAGAATGGCACGAATACCAAACGTCCTACATTATTAATTGCATATTGCATTTCAATTAACCTTTTGTTTCTATCTTGATTTGAAGCCCTGGCCATTGCATGCACCTTCGAACTGACGGTGCCAGTAATTTTCCGCGAAAACTATCTCTTGTCATCCAAATGCACACCTCCGTTTATTGGATGAAAAGTAGAGTGCCTGCATTTTGGGAAAGTTCCAATTGTCTCCCGCCAAATGCGGTGTCGTTATAGGCGCCACAAAACCTTGTCTTGTGGTGATCCGCCTTTTTGTGTGCACATCGGTAGGAGCGTTTGCTTACATCGCACAATCTTCTACTGTATTTACACGCGCTCTTTACACAAGGTTACTACAGCACTGTAAATATTTATTTATTTAGCAGAAGCCACCTTGCCCATGTTGACTCTACAGTGATCTGAGAATGGCGCTTTTTCAAGGTGGCCTTATTTACGTGATTTAACCTCTGCATGTTGAACTTCGTTTCGCAGCATGCGTAGCCAACCGTGCTAATCGGCAGTGCAGGGGGGTTGGGGGATGACGAACTGAATGCAAAAAATCCGTTCTGAAGAAATTGGTTTTCAATACAGGTGTTGAGGAGTGGAGTGCTGACATCCGTCAGGGTAAAGTGACGTCCTGCCCCCCCGGGGTATTTGAGGGAAGACCCGTGACGTGGACGGGGTCTTCGCCGTGGGTCAGAGGAATGAGCGTTAGGGGAGTAGGGGGCTCTGGGATAGAGGGTAGAGAGCCAGGCTCCAGGGGTGCTGCTTTACCCGGCTGGCCTAGTTGGATGAAACCTCGGTCAGTGCTGTGGGAAGAGCCTGATAGCCTGGTGGGGTGTAGGGAACTCCCAGTACCCTTCCCCTGGGGAGATTAGTTAAGAACTCTTGTGTTAACCCCTTCCCCCGAGTTAGGCGTAAGCCCTCAATAAACAGTTGGCGTCAGCCCCTACACGACCGGCTTCAGCGTCCTTTTCTACCACGCAATACAGTTTCAAGAGTGCACACCTCCATCCCGTTCACCTGCAATTTCGCGTCGGGCCGCCCGCGTGCGCGTCCGGAGCGCGAGGCCTGCGGTTCCCAAAACTGCAAGTTCGCCTCCCGGTCGAGCATTTGACGCAACCCATCGTCCCTCCCCCGGGGTCGATAAAAACGAATGTCGGTTTGGGGTGAGGGGGGAGGATCGCTCGATCGAGCGGCCGTTTGGTATTTGCGAGACGCCGGCCTCTGCGGTGGGAATGTGGAATTTCCACTGGGGGCTGCTGACTGACAGGTCGGAGGCTGTGTCCGTTCCATTGCTAGTTTCATGAGCTGCAGGGCACTTTTGACCTTTGGGTCTCCATTTGAGGGCCGTCTCTGCGGCAGTGCGTGCCAGGTTCATTTTTTTAACTAAATACGCAGCCTGCCCACGGTCGGGGTCGTTTC